TGCCACTTTAAGTGCCTTTCCATTACTCTGAACACTCGGGGGAATCTCAGTGAGAACAAGACTTCAAGCGCTGAGGGAGTAGGCCAACAACTGAGTGCCTTCAAAACTTCGTCTTACTCAGGATTAGTTGTGAACATTAAATTTCCTCTGAAAAATAAGCCAAGATAGAAATTGAAAATTGATGAAAATTTTTATGACTGCAGATTAATATAGGACTTAGGTAGGAAAAAAAAGTTGCTGGTAACGTGGCTCGTTTGGACGAGTCATAGAGCGCTGACTCTTAAAGCTTCTTATAATGTTCATATTCTGTGATCTTCTGATCTTTAAACATGTCATTATATTATCATTATATAAAAACAAAGCATATTCAAAGGATTCAGTCGAGTTTATAGCCAACCAGTCTAGATTTTGGGGGCTATATTCTGGAGTAAAAAAAAAAAAAATCCTATACCCATACATCCGCTGATACACAAAAATAAATTGGCAAGGATTCCTAAGATGTCGTTATCAAAGCCTAATGAAAAATAAATATAATCGAGGCTTGATATTTTACAGTTTAACCTTAACCTTTATTATTAATAACTATGAAAATGCAAGCCAAATATAGAACTTATATAAAGAAAAAAAACATAAATTTATACGGTTAAATGTCGTCAGAGAAGCACATCTTCTCTGTAGCATTTAAATACAAGTTTTCAATGATCGGAAAATGTACTTTATAAAAACTTTTAATCCTCTGAAAACCTTTAATGTAGCGCATCAATGTTTCTCATTGCTTGGTACTTTAGGTGTAGGAGGATGGAGTGTTTAAGCACGTAGGGAAGTGTAAGAAGGGTTGCACAGAAGCACAATACAAAATGCATGGCCATCCTTTATGTGCCGCAATTATGTAATTTTTGCATGAAGCATGAATAAGCACTAAGCCGTCTCCCCCTCCTCCTCACTGCTTTGTTCTCCTCCTTTACAGTTCCCTGCCTGGTTAAAAGCACACTGTTTCCATAGAGACAGAGTTACTGTCTGACAACTTGCGGTCAAGGGAGTGCGAGAAGAAACAAAATAGCAGGGCAGTCAAACATTCAGAGTTTCTATTGTTATGCTTCAGAGACTCCAAACACTGTCTGCGGCTTCAGACGTGGGATGAAATGACCCAAATATCTTCCAGTAGTACGAGTGTGAAAATATTAAAGGGAACATATGAGATTTTAAAGATTTAAAGCAGCCCACAACTATTTTCTGTGTAAAGATATAGAGGAGTAATGACAGCAGAGACTGGAGTCTGCGTTGTGGTGAGTTCACTGTTCCAGTGACGGGTCTGGGTGTGTGTTCATATTGTGTGCAGTGTGAGTCATGTAATCTAAACAACTGCAGTGCTGTTGAAACAGAAACACGCAATTAAACCTTCAGTCCATAGGCTACACACAGCACGGCACAGCTATGCCAACCAAGGATTTACCGAACTGCATTGTGGTTCCGTTGTGTTGCTCATGCTGCGTATGGCAGAGGTTGAGCAAAGCACAACTTTTCATGCATTGCGTGCGCCAACAGAAGCACAGAATCCAGCTCTGTTGTGTGTGACAAGCTTGAAACTGTGCAATTAATCACAAGAAATTCAATTAAGAACGAGCAGCAAGAAAGAAAAAATGATGACACACACACACACACACACACACACACACACACACACACACACACA